CTCCGGTCATGTACACATTATTCTGTGTACTTTTACTCCGGTCATGTTCACAGTATACTCCTCTTTACATGAAAACCTTTGACAAGTGACCCATATGCTGGAAAAAACCCTCTTAAATGAGTCATATTGGGGGGGGGGGGATTGTTTGGATAAACTCTAGGGGGGGGGGGGGAAACAGTCAAAATATATATTTCTTTATTTATTGCCTTAAATGTGCTTTGAGTGCATCTCTTGCAAAGTCTGATGAGGAGGAAGAGGATGAGGAGGAGAACGAGGAAGTTCCACTCCAGCTGTTCCTGAACATCTAGACAGTCAGGAGCTTTGAAACTCCATGCAGTCCACAAGATGGCCGACTGGGAACATTTTATATAGAAAACTTGTATGTAGTGCGTTATACTTATTAAATTATATTTTTATTTGAGATGTTTTACCACCTTTATTGTAAAGGTTGCGGACAACCAAACATTTTGTCAGGCAACCAGATTCTGCCCTGACCCCTGAAAACTCAAGGAACCTCAAGTAAACCTGCTGTGTGAGAGTGATGTGAAACTATAGGAACCACATGTAAACCTACAGTTTGAGGTCAAAATGTTCTGTTAGGAACTTTAATATAAAATGGATCTTGGATGTTGATAATTTTGTTTGTTAGAAGTAAGATTTAAATATGTAGCCTTGTTGACATCAGTGTTTTCAAACAACAGGGAAGTCCCTTTATGTGGATCGTCTGTTTGAGAAGTTTCAGCAGAAATCTCAAAGAGCAAACTACATCAGGATCCGACTGATTGAACCGTGTGTTGACATAGACTCTTTGATCAAGAGTCTGTCAGAGAAACTGTCCCCTCTGAGAGAGCAGGACCCAGTTCTTTTTCACGTCGACACATCAGGAGTAAGTAAACGAGCATTTATACTTGCAGACAACGCGTTCTGTTGTTGGTTGTCCTTAAGAATCAGCCTTCTTGTTGACTTCAGGTTCGCTCAGGTCTGGAGGAGCTCCTTTTCCATCTCTTGGTTCTGGGCTGTTTGAGTGACGGCCATGGAAACCTATGGAGACGGAATGAAGCTCATCTGATAACCGTGGAAGTCCTAAAAACAAACCAATTTCTTCTAAACAGGCCAAGAGAGGTAGAAATTGATTTAATATTACAGCTATTTGAGTAACCTTTACCTTTTTTCAGATGCTGCATCAATTCCAGAAGATAAATAATTATTGCATTTGGCTTCAGTGTCTTACTTTTCTTGTTATTATTACGTTAAAATCTTTAAGATTGAAAATTAACAGTTTTTTTTCATAAATTTCCACTTTTATTTATTCAGTTCACTTTCTTCCTCAGACAAGACTTGGACTTCTTGACATTCTGCCCACCATTCATTGTAAACCTCCCAGAGAGGTGAAGCAGCTGTTGGCCAGTCAAAAGTTCTCAACAAAGAAGAGCTTTGATCCACTCATGGATGAACAGGAGTTCTGCAGCGAGGGGATTCAGAGACCCTACCAGTATCTAAAGCTCTACAACCAGAATAAAGATCTGGATCATTTTAACTACAAGGAAGGGTCCAGAGTTGGAGATCCCGGTGATTGTCTTTATCACTTTCTGTTGTATTGTGGCATGGACGATCCATCTTGGGGTGAGCTGAAGAACTTCTCCTGGTTCCTCAATGTGCAGCTAAAAGATTGTGAGAACTCAGTTTTCTGTGATCCAGACTTTCTTGCCGGTCAGCTTCCTGGTTTTAAGGGTTTCATTGTGAAGTTCATGATTCGCATGGCAAGAGATTTTGCTTCTCCCTCCCTGAACACATCTGACCAAAGTCCCATGCTGCACATCAAAAGCAGTTCAGAAGATGACCTTGTCACTCGTCTGACACTTCGTAAGCGCTGGGAAAATGAGTCCCACCCATACATTTTCTTTAACGCAGACCACTCCTCAATGTCTTTCCTTGGCTTTAATGTGCAGATATGTCAAAGGACAAATACACTCAGTGCAGTTGACCCTCACAGCGGCAAGGTTCTGATAGAGCACGTAATGACACAAGAACTTTTTCAAGGTTTGCAGCGACAAAGGATTTCCCTCACCGAGGACTTCGATCAGTTGCCGCGACCAGACAAAATCAAAAGGATTTCTTGTGTTGTTGGTGCAAGGAAAGGAATTATGGATAGGGGATTTGATCCAGATCCAACTTACGAGCTCACCACTGACAATGTGATGAAGATGCTGGCCATACACATGAGGTTCAGGTGTGGAATTCCAGTTGTTATCATGGGTGAGACGGGATGTGGCAAAACCAGATTGGTTCGTTTCCTGTGCACTCTGCAGAGGGAGGAAAAACCAGTAGACAACATGGCTCTTGTCAAGGTTCATGGTGGAACCACAGCAGAAATGATCTACAGAAAGGTGCAGGAAGCTGAGGTGCTTGCTCAAATGAACATGCAAAGACACAAGTTAGACACTGTTCTGTTTTTTGATGAAGCCAACACCACAGAGGCCATTTTTGCCATCAAAGAAATTCTGTGTGATCAGACAGTGAAAGGAGAACCTCTGAAGTTGCTCAGTGGCTTGAAAATAATAGCTGCCTGCAATCCTTACAGGAAGCACTCTCCTGAAATGGTGGAACGTTTGGAACGTGCAGGATTGGGATACCGAGTGAAAGCAGATGAAACAAAAGATTGCCTGGGCAAAGTACCGTTGAGGCAGCTTGTGTACAGAGTTCACCCTTTACCTCCAAGCATGGTCTCTTTGGTGTGGGACTTTGGCCAGCTGAGCAACTTAACTGAGCTTTCTTACATCAGACAGATTGTCCAAAGGAAAGTAGCTGATTATCATCTGCCAGCAGCTTGCACAAACATCATTGCAAATGTGCTGGCTGCCTCACAGAAATATATGAGGAGTCGAAAAAACGAGTGCAGTTTTGTAAGTCTTCGAGATGTAGAGAGGTCTATGAAAGTGCTGATTTGGTTTTACCAGCACAGCAAAAACATTTTAAACAACTACGCTCACCTTGAAGAAAATCACAAGACCCTGAAGTGCTTGATTCTTGCTGCTGGAGTGTGCTATTACCCATCTCTTGTGACCAAAGAAGAGTACCTGGAAGAAATTTGTTCCTACTTTCCAATGCCAATGAATTCTGCAGCCACATTGCAGGAAGAGATTTCATCTTGTCAAGACCTCTTCCTCCAGAACATCCAGACAAGGGAGACCATTGCCAAAAACATTGCCCTTAAAGAAAATGTTTTTCTCATGGTGGTGTGCATAGAACTAAGGATCCCACTCTTTCTAGTTGGAAAACCAGGCAGCTCCAAGTCTCTTGCTAAAACTGTTGTAGCAGATGCCATGCAGGGCCAGAACTCTCACTGTGAACTGTTCAGGAGACTCAAACAGGTCCATATGGTCTCCTTCCAGTGCAGCCCTCACTCAAGTCCAGAGGGTATCATTGGTACATTCAAGAACTGTGCTCGCTTCCAGAAGGACAAAAACATGGATGAGTATGTGTCAGTGGTGGTTCTTGATGAGATAGGACTTGCAGAAGATTCTCCACAGATGCCATTAAAGACCCTTCATCCTCTCTTGGAGGATGGCTGTATTGATGACAAACCACATCTGCACATGAAGGTTGGGTTTGTTGGCATCTCCAACTGGGCTCTTGACCCTGCAAAAATGAACAGGGGGATCTTTGTCTCCAGATGGGATCCAAGTGAGGATGAACTTGTGGAGACTGCCAAAGGAATTTGCTCATCTTCCAAACAGATTCTCCTGAAAATCAAACACCTTTTTCCATCTCTGGCAAAGGCTTTCCTGAACATCTGTAGTGAGACCTCAAAGAATCAGTTCTTTGGTCTAAGAGATTATTACAGCCTTGTCAAAATGCTCTTTGCTGCAGTCAAATCCACCCAACAAGAACCAGATGGAGAACAGCTGGTGGAGGCCATCTTACGTAACTTTAGTGGACAGCCAGAGCATTTTAACCCTGTCATATTTTTTCAAGAAGTTCTCCAAGATCTCACAGAATTTCCCAGACCAAGGACCCTACAAATGGTGAAAAAGAATCTTGATCATGGCACCAGTGAGGAGAGCCGTTACCTTCTGTTACTGACCACCAACAATGCAGCACTCCATATTCTTCAACAACAAGTCTTTACCAAAGGAGACTATCTGCCACCTGAAATCATCTTTGGCTCAGGGTTCCCAAAGGACCAAGAGTATGCCCAGATCTGCCGGAATGTAAACCGTGTGAAAACGTGTATGGAGACAGGGCGTACCGTCATCCTCCTCAACATGCAGAATCTTTATGAAAGCCTGTACGATGCCTTGAACCAATACTATGTCTACCTCAGTAAGCAGCAGTATGTTGATCTGGGTCTGGGCTCCCACAGGGTCAAGTGTCGTGTTCATACAAACTTCAGACTGGTGGTGGTAGAAGACCAGCAGAAGGTCTATGAACACTTTCCTGTGCCACTCATCAACAGGTTGGAAAAACACATAGTGGATCGGAGCACTGACCTGGAATTGTGGCAGCACAGGGTTTTGGAAAAACTGAGAGAATGGACGAAGGAGTTCTCCGGAGAAGCCAACAAGGATTTCAAGCTGTCAGACATTTTTATCGGCTTCCACAGCGATGCCTGTGCAAGTGCTCTACTGCAAGCACTGGAGAGAAGAGCACAAAAAGTTGGACAGGGTGAAGAACAGAACAAAACAAAAACGCCTGAGGCAGACAAAGAAGAACCGGCTACTGAGATGGAAGACCATGAGTTTGTTGATGCAATGGACACCGAGCAAGAAAATGGGTCAGAGGAAATAAACAATGATGAAACCAGTGAGGTTAATGATGTCAACAAAGAATTTTTGGAAACAGAAGAAATGATGGACATGGAAAACAAAGAAAATGACGAAGAAGAAGTTTTCAATTTGGCTACAGGTTTATTGTTAAACTGTGCCACCCCCGATGCTGTGGTGAGGCTGAAATACTCAGATTTGTCCAACCAGGAGAAAGAGAAACTCCTGAGATTGTACTTCCAGCATCAGCATCACCACTCACTCAGAGATTTTCTGGGAGACTGTTTGAGCAAACATCAGGAGTCCAGTAGGTTTCTGGAGGTAATGCATCAAACACATCTTCTAATTTATCGGTTCTGTTCAGTCCTTTAGCAAGTTCCTCACGGCTCTTCTGTTTTGTGTTTCTGCATAGATCACCACTTTCTCCAGCTTGTTAACCAGATCAGATGTGAGGGTTTTATCTCATGCTCTGGGTCTGCATACAGACCGAATCCTTCTGCTGTCACTCCACCAGTTTGACACTGAAGTTTCCTTCTGCAATAAAATACGGTAAAACTCAACAAATAACGTAGAACTGTTCCTTTATGATTGTCTGCTTTTATATTTAAGCATCTCTTTTACCAAACTAATTCTTACTATAGACAGTAATGATTTTTCCTATGTCTGTGTGTTGGGCACACCATAGGCATCTCAACAATTATATGTGAAGGGGATTTGCACCCCCTCCCCCCACATTTAAAAAATATTAATTCGGACCCCCTACATTTACCATGAAATATTCGTATATCCAGTTTTCTTTCTAGTTCTTCGTGAACAAGTCCATTCCATTTGATTAATAGGAGAATACTCAAACCACTAAAAGTCCATTCCGGGTTTTCCTGATTACCTACAACAACTCACCGCATGCAGTGTTTCTCCTCTGTGACCTGCCTCGGCAGGGCGCTCACGAGGGGGGGGCTCTGTTTTGTGCGCTAGCTTAGCACCACGTTACGCTAGCTTAGCACCACGTTACGCTAGCTTAGCACCACGTTAGTGCTGATTGTTGTTAATGGGGGTGGGGGTTAGATGAAGCAACACACTACATCTGTAGCATCTTAGCTAACATGTCTGTATTGTGTGCCGCTAGTTCCAACAGTTTTCGATGGGTATGTGTGTATGTGTGTGTAGGGGCGGGGGGCTGCTTCTTGTTGCTCTCTAAAATAGTTATTGACTCAAGTGTTTACTTATGCAGGTAAACGTAGATGTTTAACAACCCATTAAAACACACCAGAATGCAGGAAATGGCATCTACTTTATTGACCCTCAGACCCCCCCCACCAGTGTGTTCCCCCCACATTACAAATGCTTCTGACGCTGATGGCACACATGTGTGCATCTGTTTATGTAGCTGTTTGTTAGCAAAATAGCTCATAAAATACTAGACACGTTTTTTTTACTTTCATAAAGTAATGAACAGATGTAAAACTTACTACTTGAGTCAGTCGAATTCAATATGGCCGCCACAGCTAAACAACATTTCCTTATACAAAGATGGCTATAACTTGGTCACATTTACAGGTGTTGAGCTAACATTTGGTGGGGTAGTAGCTGAGAGTCATCCCAACACATTGTCTGAGGGTTACCGGCTCACGCAGATTGTTGTTTAAAGTTGGGCACGCAAAGACGCACGCGATGTGCATTCCTTCAAGACATGGTTCTTTTTCAGTGTCAACGTTATTTTATAGATTTACCTAAAAATATTTTGACATCAAGTTGAAGAATAAAGCATGCTATAAAGTTTGAGGACAGAATCTGTTTTGCTCTCGTGGTAGTGTTATTTGTTTTTATTATGCGTTTCTTTTAGGTTTCTCTGTTTTAGATCATGTTTGATTCGCTCTTTTTGTTCCGTAATTTCCGGACTATAAGCAGCTACTTTTTTCACACACTTTGAATGAACACAGCGGCTTATACAACGCTGCGGCTAATTTAAGGATTTTTTTTTTGATGGGCTAACGAGCTTCATGCCACCAAAACATTTAGCTTCGTCGTACCTACACGCTCACATAGCTGCCCAGTACATGTCTCTCTTGGAGATTAGCGGTCAATGACTTCCTGGTAGATTACTGTATTTATGTCTTTATCTGCCGTGTTACATGCACTGTTCAGGAAAAAAAATACTGTATTTGTGCGTGTTACTGGTATGTATTTAATTAAGCTTTTTAAAAATCTTTCAATGTAAATATTTCATGTTAAACGTGAACACCCGCAGCTTATAGACAAGTGCGGCCTATTTGTGTAAAATTTTAATTTTCTTTGTAAATTTAGCGGGCACGGCTTATATTCAGGTGCGCTCAATAGTCCATAAATTACAGTATTTTTGTTTTCGGTTTTCTCAGGGCCTTCCTCCAAAGTTCGGACCACTCTCTTCACATTCTGTTCGTCCAGATGGACCTGGAGGAATCGCAGTGCTGCGACGAGCTCATCGCGTCAGCAAAGTAGGCCTTAAAGCAGCTACTTTCATTTGAGCACGTTCTAAGAGGAGGTCTGCATGAGAAGTGTGATTATATGACCTGTCGACAGGTACGGCACCATGAATTACATGACGTCATGGGAGGATCAGCACTGCTGGGTGATTTTTATTGTGAAGGTTTCAAGGATTCAAAGTCAGTCCCAGTACATCGGTTTCCAGGGAGGTGAGGACAAACAGGACGCGGGATGTAACTGGAGCATGCCTCCTGTTTTTGTTTACTGCAATGTTCATGTTCGGAGCTCGTTAATTTCATTTTTGTTTTGTTTTAAAGGCGTCTGGCATTCGGTGCACATCGATGACCTGAGGGACTCGGAGGACATGAGTCTGAATCTGTCGGTTTTCTGTGGGACTCTCATCAGCAGCCTGCTCAGTCCTGCACATCCTGGTAAAATATGTACACCCTCAAGGTTTTACACCACAACTGGTAACTCATTCAGAAACTCCAGCCCTGCATGCTACTTTTTCATTATACATGTGATATAAAAAAGATTCATTGATATAATAGATAACATTTACATACACTTTAGAATACAAATTCTATAATAATGTTAGCATTTTTCTTCTGCTACCTTAAATTTAGGTGGTTTTTATGTAAATTTCAACTTTCTGCTGCAGTCAAACGTTGAAAGTGATACCATAATTTTTATATATGTGGATCATAACTTGACATGACACGGTTAACTTTTATTTCTTACATAATAAACAGCTGTGTTTCCTCTTTAACAGGAAGTCAGAAAAGCAGTGAAGCGGTGATGTCAGACGACTCAGAAGACAGTAGTGTGAGTTGTTGCAGGATGTGTCGGAGCAGTGAAGCGGGTTTTAGCCTTTTTTAAGTGTTTACTTTGTAAACATTGACCTGTTTTCTTCCAGGTCGAGCCAGCCCACCTTCACAGTTTGTCTTTAGTGAGGTCGTGCGTTCAGAAAGCCGTGGGGTTACTGAGGGACCCCGACACCGTGGCATCACGAGGCATGCAGCGAATGAACGTCCTCCTGACGCTTCTGGGCAATGGTCAAAATCCGACTGCAGGTGAACTCATTTAATTCTTTTATTTCACGATTTTATTGCCTTAAGATGGAAAATAATCAGCGTGCATCTGCACCTTTCTGATCATTCTTTATCATTAAAGCTCGTTTTCAGAGAACGTTGTTGAGCCGACTGGCGGAGACACTGGCTCAGAGGGAAGAGATGATGGGAGCTCCCAAAGAGTGGGTGAACATGGAGGCCAAGAAACGCCAGGCTCTACAGGAGGGGGGCACTCTGAGGTGAAACCTGATCTAAAGGAAACAAAACTAAATGAGCTCACCCAACACCACAAGTTATTGAAAACATCCAGCAGCTTTAAGTCTTACTGGAGACGAAACGTAACCAGTGAGAGGCGGTGGTGTCCTCTGTGGGTCAAACTGAGTGTCTTGTCTTTGCCTTGAAGACGCACCCTGTGGCGCTGTCTTCAGTCCACCGTGACGCCGATCTTAGCCAGCATGTTGGAGGTCCTGGACAGGTACTCGAACCTGGACCTGGTGTCGGACGACAGACTGAGCCAGGGGTTGATCCAGCTGTGGATGGACCTCCTGGCAGATCCACAGATTTTACACCTGACACCTCCCAGAAACCCCAGGTACAAGTTTGTTAGTTTGCACTTGTGTAGTTTACGACGTAAGGCTTCAGTTTTCTGTGATTATATTTCTAGTGGGTCCGATCAGGAGGTTCTGGTCCAACATTACTTCATGTTGGATGGTGAACAGCAGCCGTGCTCGGCTCCGTTCAGCTGGATCATCAGAGTCTACCTGGAGAGCCTGTGGGAGGAATCTGAATTCATGCCAGGTTTACTTTAAACTCACAACCAGACATTTGTGCATTTAGGTACACTGTAGGTAAAAACACACTTTATTCTGTTTTATTTGTTTACAGTAACCAAAGAGGGCGGCGCAGAGAGGATCCTTCAGCTTGTGAGCACCTTCAGCAGCAGCCGGCTGGGCGGGTACTTCCAGCGTCTCTCAGAGGAGGACCGAAGGGAGATCGGCCTTCTGTTCCTGCACGACTTCCTGCTGCTGTCTTTGAACATTAAGACCAAAGATGAGCTCGAGGTGCAGAGATGATCTGGGGTCACACATTTGGAAACGTCATGCTTGGAAAACCAAAATAGTTCACAGAAGTCATCCGTTCCCCAGACTCTCTGAATCCGTCGTAACCGTTTCTTTGATCTTTGGCTGCTTGACCTTAAAAATAAGAGAAAAACTGGACAAGCTGAGGACAGAGACATAAGTTTCAGACCTAAAATAACATGTTCAGTAGAAATTTCACAACTGAAAGTCATATCTTATAATAAACAGGGGGGGGGGGGGTCAACGACCAAACAGGTCCTGAGCGTCAAGATGCTAAATACAAACTGGAAAAAGTACCAATAACATTAGAAGCAGAAACAAGCTAAACTTTTAGCTACTGTTTTGCTCCTATGGTTACTCTTATTTTAAATTCTCCACTTGCTGAATTTAGCTTTAAAGCACATGTTTTTGTCAATTTTAGCTTTTAGCTATTTTGCTAAGTTTAGCTTTAAGCTTTGTTCTAGCTAATTTTAGCTTTGTTTCCCACTTGGCCTAGAAAACAGCTTCTCCAATAAACACTGCAGTTTTTTAGAAATCTCCGTGCATTTTCACAGAAAATGCAGCTGTTTTTTTTTTGTAATTTCTATTTTTCGGTCGTAGATAAACATTTAAAATGAGCCGAAGCCGCACCATCGGTGGACACGTTACAGACACTGGTGATTGTGTCGTTCACAGGTGTTCACCGGAGCCACGCGGGGCTGTGTGTCTGAGCTTCAGGCCTCCGTGGGCGTCACCTCTGATCTTTCTCCTGCCTGGATGATGGCAGCAGTGAAACACTTTGCAGCCAGACTTGACGCGCTCAGCCACATGTTCCTCCTGCAGCCCCAGCTCGCAGCTGAAGTTCTTCAGCGCGGGTCCAAGAGGAGCGAGCAGCAGGGAATGGTGACAGTGACCCTCTGTCTCCATATCATTATTACTGTTTGATCGACATCTTAACTGAGATCCTTATAATGTCTGTTTGTGTTGTGGAGGTGGAGGACATTTTAGCTCTTGGAGTCTGTGTGGAGCAGACCAAACATCAGACGGTGACTTCGCTCCACGAGTGTGAGTCGTTTGTGAGCAGAGTGGAGCTCCTGCAGCCGTGTCTGGACCGAGCGTTCAGCCAGAAGTACGGCGCTCTCTGCAGTGCTGCCTGTTTGCTGCGCCTGGACTCCATCAGGTGGGAATAACGATTTCAAAACTGCGTCTTTGTTTCAGAGTCGTTCGTAAAGTCTTCTGTCCTTTCAGGTCTTTGTGGCACGGGATGCTCGTCGTTGCATGTTTCATCCAGAACATCATTTTTAAAGTTAACCAAGACGACTCAAAAGTAAAAGACGTGGCTCTGAAGCACTGCAACCTTCATCTGAACGTACGTCGAGATGTTTGTCTTAAGAAAATCTGCTCCATAAATCACAATAAGCTTTATCGTCATTGTACTGAGGTCCAGTGAGATTATGTTCGTACAGTCGTCCGAAAGATGGGCGGCGTGCACGTTGCTGCTGCTACAGGTGCGCGGCCTCTTATCCTCGATCAAAGTACTTTTTAGATGGAAAAAGGTAAAAGGCCATGAGGATGGATAGTGGTTTGACAAAAAAGTTCTCTTCACATCTTGTCCTGTCAGGACATGATTTAAAACATCAAAAACCTCCACCAGCAGCACATTTATAACTCGTTACATACGGCATGCATGTGATGTCAAGATGGTGAGATTTGTCCATGAAGCACTTCCAGATAGACCATAGTCCTGATAAGATGTTGGTCAGCCGGCAGCGCTTGGGGGGGGGGGGGGTGTTTGCGATAGACAAAGCTTTTCATTAGTTTACTCATGTCCCAGGAGAAATTTGACAGTCTGTCTGCTTTCGAGGCCAAACGGGGGAGTCCGATTCAGATAAGCCACAGTTGTTGGTTTTTTCACGCAGACTGTTTTTTCTTCTTGTCAGCCTTGAGTCCTGTTGGAACTTTCCAGATCCAAAATGCCCAGATTTGTGGGCGTTCCACTGATCCGTGCTCTGGGCCTCATCCAAGGTCGTCTCCAACATGCTGGCGAGTCCCAGAAGTCGCAAGTGGCCTGCGAGTCTCACAAATCACTTCCATCTTATGGTTTAGCTCGTACATCAGCTGATTTTGAGCACTCGTAGCACGAACCAAACCTTCAAGGCAGCAGCCTGACGCGGGACAAATTAGCTGCAGCTGTCTTCTTCGTATGTTGAAGACACATCAGCTCCCACATCCATGATGTATCCTGCAGCATGAGTCTCAGCAGGACATGAGGGCTCTCCAGGACCTTGTTGCTTTGTTGAGAAGATTTTGTTGTTTGCATTGAAAGTCCAGCTCACCAGATCCATAATAGTATTTTTCATTCAGAAAATGTGTAACAGGAGCTCCGAGACACAGAGAGAGAGCAAAAAAGCAGGAGGAAGAGGAGAACAGGGGAGGGAGAGAAAAGCGTCCGCCTTGTGCGAGAGCGATGTGAAAAAAAAAGAGGAAGAATGAAACCATAAATGTGCTTCTCATGCCTGGAGAGGGTGAATTAAAAATGTTGTGATCTTCTCTAACAGCTCATGCAGGAGTCACCTGATATCAGAAGTGTGAAGACGCTGCAGCAGCTGATCCGAATCCTCAACTCCTTCCACGACGAGTGCATGAGCCGCGACCTCAGGTCAGAATCTGCAATGAACCGTTTAAATTTAGACTAAACTAAAAGAATTATGTCTCCTGCAAAAATGCTGAGTCATGAAAACTTAAAGAAGCTGAAAGTGAGTTGGAAACGTTTCGCCAGAACAAGAACGCCGACTCGGCACAAGTTGATGAAGGTTTGTTTCTGATTCACAGCGAGAGCGTCTGTGTTTTCTTCTCAAGGTTCGGTGTTTCGTGCCCAGTGTGTCTGCTGGAGCTCAGCGAGCCGTCGGCTCTGCCCTGTCAGCACGTCGTGTGCCTGCCGTGTCTTCAGGGCTGCGTTCAGCAGAACCGCCGCTTCTGCCCGAAATGTCGCAAAGAGTTACCAAGTGACTTCACGCCGTCTGTTTCTCACAGCGTCAAGTTAGTTCCAAATAATGTCAGGCAGGATTTAAACTTTTGTTCACTGAAGACGAGCAAATCAACAAGACATTTTAAATTCTTCTTAAATAATCCTCTTTATATTTCCAACTATACTTATAGATTTATATTTAATTTCTCTCACAGATCGTCATGGAACATGTAAGACAGTGCTGTTAAAGGTCTTGGAGCATGAAAACAAAAAGCAGTGAAGCTTGGAGCCGTGCAGATGTCGTCAGGGGTTAATGAAGGAGTTGTTTGTGTTTCAGGGCAGCCCTGAAGCAGCAGGCGGCCCTCAGGAGCTGCTGTAACTCCTTCTTCCTGGAGGTGGTGTCCAGGTTCTGTCTGTCCAAGGAGCAGAGGCCCGAGGACGGCGTGGTGGAGCTGCTCTTCTCCTTACTCGTTTCCGCCAACGGTCAGCCACAGGATTAAACTTTGGTGAATAAATGAAGTGGCGACATGCCGCCTCACCCCCGTGTTCTGTGACGCAGGAGACGTTTACCGCACCAGAGAGCTCACCCCCTTCCTGGAGTGTGTGGACAACAGTCCGGTGGTCCGGTCGGTGCTGCCCAAGCTGCTGCTGCAGCACAGGTGGGAGAGAGGGTGGGAGAGACTGTGGGAGAGAGGGTGGGAGAGACGGTGGGAGAGAGGGTGGGAGAGAG